TCCACTAAACTCCACTCCACACAGGGATTTGCGCTGGGCTGGCCAATTATGCCACATTATTGGCAAGTTGATTGCCGCTGTTATCGCCCCGTACTGGATGACTGGATGACAGGATGTGCGGCAGGGCCAGGGCCAATGCTGCATATTACGCAACGTCAACGTCAATTAAATCAGTTTTACTCCAAATATTTTAAGCCAATGTCAACGACGAATCCCATCCCTGCTGCTGCTGTTGCTGCACTCTCCAACCCCATCTGAAACTGTAGATGTTCCGGGGACTGCGACTGGGACTGGGGCTGGGAGATATATTGACAGCGGCTGCCCATCGCTCGTACACCTCTCTCGCTCTCAATGGCCACGCCTGATTGAATTTATGGCCGCGCACATCCAACGGGGCCCTCGAGGCTCTTTTGGGCCAGACCCAGACTCGGGCCCAAACCAGCCTCGTAGCCAATTGTTTACACAAAACTTTCACAAATTAACCCAACCTGTGAACTGAAAAACTCAAAACTTAAGACTCCAAAACGCATCGACTCGATTAAAATGCTGCAAACTTAATTGTGGGGGCGGGGGCCCTCCAGTTTGTCGCACATTCTGGGTGGCCGAACGATACAGTGGTAGCAGGCTCTTGAAATGGTATGATATGCATGTATACATAGATGTATACAGGCGATTCAATGAGAAGAATAAACATAAACTACCCTTTTATTCATTGAAGATCCTGTTCAAACATCTTGTTGTTATGGGGCTTTGTTTCAGAATGTATCAGAAATCTTTGAAAAACATTCCATTCATTCATCCCACGGTGCATACCCCATACCCATCCTCTTGGAGTATTTCTCTCGCTGCTTCCTGGTCCTACTACTCCTCGAACCAACTCCTACTCCTCCTGTGGCTGCTGCTGCTGCTCCTCCTCCTCCTCCTGCTGCTGCTGCTGCTCATGGTGCTCGGTCAAGTGCAAGTGGCAATTTAAAGAATCGGGTGAGGTAAACGTCGAATCGAGTGTCCCAATGTTGGCGCCCCCATATGCGCATAATAATTTCGATCGAGTGCCGAAGAAAGTTGTGTGGTGCAGGGTCCGGCTCCTCGGCACCGTTTCATGTGCTGCTGCTGCTGCTGTTGCAGTGGCAGTGGCAACAATTGTGGCTGCTGTTGTTGTTAAGTGAAATGAAAAGTGCATAAATCTGAAATCTGGTGAGCAGTCACACCAAACGATGCAGCAACAGCAGCAGGCAGAAAAAAGGGGCAACCGGACCGGCAACGATAAGAATCGAAGCTGCGTTTTGGGGCAAAACGAAACAGAGACAAAAGAACTTTCGCTTTCGTTTCGGTTCGGTTCGGTTAGGTTTTCGGATACGGTCTGTCTTGGCCTGCTGCCCAGGTAAAAGTGGCCCGGTGCATTATTTAACCAAATTTGGCTATTGAAATGCAACCGGTACGAGTACGAGTACGAGAATGGATACTGTACGATGTACTCGTACTCGTACATGCCTTCGATATAACAATTATGTGCGTTTAATGAGCAGCAACAAGCTGACGATCATGCCGCTGACGGATGAGATTGATTGCATAAGGCGCAGCGGTGGCAGCAACATTGTCACCGTCACTCCCCAGGGGAGGGTCACTGGGGGTGCCACCAGACACAGACACAGACACCACATCGCTTACATCGTTTACATCGTTTACTTTCACTGGCGATACCAGAACCGCTTAGAAGCGCACTGCTGCTCCACCGTGATTGCAGCAGCGGCAGCGGCAGCAGCGGGCGAGTGATAGTAAAAGTGATAGTCGTTTTCAATTGGAGATTATTATGGCTTAAATATTTTACGACTTATATAACCACACACTCATGCAGCAGTCAGAGAGTCGGAGAGAGAGACGTCAAAGCAATTAAGCCACGCTACCAAAACAGCTACAAATGCAGGCACTTTTCTAATTAATTTCGAAATGAAGAGAAAAAAAAAAATCTCAATAAAATTTCATTTTCATTGACAGCCGCTTTTCAACTGCATCGCTGATGCTGCGGCCGTGGCTGCTGCGGCTGCTGCTGCATGATGTAGTGTGTGGATGCAACAGCAACAGCAACAACAACAACAACCTGGTGGTACACTTAATTGACAAGTGTGAAACTTTCGATTTCTGTACACCCATTGACATACAAAACGAGAGCAAGAGATTGGGGGTCGGTCTGGGGCAGAGCCAGAGCCAGAGCCCGAGCCCGAGCTGGAGAGCTAGAGCCAGGCCTAATGATGCCGCCTGCTGCTATGATTTGTTGTGTCTAAATGTCACAATTCTCCAAAGTGATGGGGCGGCACCCAGGAGGGGTGTTGCGGGGTGTTTGGTAGGTGTGCCTCCGCCATCTACCTATATCTCCCAGCTCCGATGGCTTTGCCTGATAATTATTGATATGCCGGGCTCTGGTCGGGTGCGTCTCGCGTGCTGACTTGACAAAAAGGCTGCTGCTGGTGGTGCCACTGCTGTGCGCAATGCCATCAAATGATTAACTAACGGATCAGTGTGTGTGTGTGTGTGTGTGTATGCTGTGGGGCTGTTTGGTGGGGGGGACTCTAGTCTGGTTGGAACGTGCGAAATGGGTGAAATTTTGTCGGCTGCCTGGCGTGTCTGAGTGCCGGGTCCATGCGATTTTACACCACAGAAATTATGTTTCAATTATGCCAGAGAAAATGAAAGTTGCTGCAGATCAATTGAATGTCTTAATTGCTGGCCGCCATGTGATGTGGATAATCCAGAGGATTAAGACAAGATCTTGCCGAGATTTAATCAGACAGGTCTCATCATCATCTCATCGCATCTCTCAGAACTGTAGAGATAAAAAGTTCTAAAAGGATCCCTCGTTCCCAGAACAGACAGACAGACAGCCGCCCGTCGTTTTGGCATTTCAGCATGTTTTTTTGGCAAAGCTATAATTAAAAATCAATTTGGCCCAGAGGGTTCCTATTATGCAAGCCAAAAACAAAACAAAAAACATGATCATAATACTTGGCCACGTTCGCTGTCTGAGTCTTTTGTTTTGCAGTTTGTCAAAGGTTCAGGCAGCAGCAGCAGCAGCAAAGCCCAGGCTCTGCCGCCGCCAGACATCAACGTGAGCCGCACATATCAAGCATAATATCTTAAGTTGGGTCTATGCTGGGTTCAGGCCATGTCAGGCATGAATTCGCTGTTCCAGCCAGAGGAGGAGGAGACGGAGACGGAGCCGGAGACGGAGACGCGCTCGGCTCGAGTCGCTGCCACAGAAACCCATTAATGAGCAGCACACAGGCTGCCTGGCATTTGACAGATTTTTTAATTAAGGCATACAAATTGCGATTCTTCACGCTTTTTTTTTGGCCCCACGAAAACTATAACTGGCAAATATTATTATCGCTACCACTTGGCGGTGAGGCGTGAGAGCTGCGCCCGAGGACTTCGTCGGCATTCCTCAGACACCATTCCAGCACCACCACCACTCCTCTGGCTTTCCTGCTCCTCCGATAACCGTGGTAATCACTGAAAATACCAAACCTTATCAGATATCGGCTATCTGGCAGCTGCTGCTAGTTGTTGGCTGTAGGCTGGTGGCTGGTGGCTGCTCCCGCACAATAAATGAACACCAGGGAGAGAAGGAAAGAAATTTGCATAGGCAGGCGCCTGCCAAAAGCTAATGAATTTTTTCTGCCCGCTGCCCGCTTACATAATTATCAACGCTATGGCATTATTATGGCCTGGCCTGGCCAGGTTCGGACTTGGGCCAAGTCCAAGTCCAGTGGCAGTCCTGCTTTTGCTCCTTTCACTTTTGCGGCGATCGCCTGCCTGCCTGCCTGCCTGCCTGCTGACTGCTGCCTAATTATTCCTGCCCGGCCGTGTCCATTGTGTCCACTGTGATTTCGCACATAATTAAACTGCGCAAAATTTACATTAAATTAATAGTTTTATTGTTTCGTCCGCGCCAGAGCCTGCCTGCCTGGCTTCAAGCCATGCGGAAACGTTGCCCTACCAAAAATGGTCAGCCAAAGCCCCCGCCACGACAAAAAAAAAAAACAAAAGAAGAGAAGAGGAGAAAAGTCGAGCCATTGACACCGTAGTGGCTGTAGGAAAAGCACTAAATAAGAAAAAAGACCTGGCACACGCAAGATTAATGCGGCACAAAATTATTGAGGAATTTATGCAAAAGTTAATGGGAGTTTGGATTGGTACAAGCTCCGATCATTTCACTTTCATGTCTAATCCGATGCTTTCGAATGGGAGATGTCCAAGAAGATAGATAGATTCTGAGCAGATAGATGACCACGAATGATCTCTTAAAAGCCTTAACCCATCAGTGCGGAACGTGCACTTTAGAATGGATCTTGACCATATATCTGTTGATGGGTTCTGAGACCTGTAAAGGGAAGACAATGCTTATCGAAATTTACATTTTAATTTATATATGCATATCCCTCAAATTATGGAAGACTTGTATAATTTATTAACTGATTTCGGGTAGATTAGACTAGAATAGATATCTACACATGTGAATGTTCTATCTTTTAGACATAAGATGGCCCCTTCGGACCTATGTAGATATTAGATGATTGAGCATATATAGCTAGGAGAAAAGTGACGGATCGCGGACAAATACATCCTTAAGAAACTTTAACAGCCTTTCCTAACTTCCTTCATTTTCAGTTGTATCTTAAATTCTTTATGGTTGGATCTACTAATATCTGATTGGGAATAATCACCGAAGAGTAGGGTTTACATTTTGTTGGATGATGTCTGCGGGCGTGGTCTGCCGTGGGTTAATTTTGGCAAGTCCCCGTTAATAGACCTGACCCCCTTGCCCAAATATCAAAAAGAAATGCCAAATGGCAAACCCCAATACAGGTTTTAGGTTCGAGGTTTGGCTAAGTGTGCATCCAATTAAGGAATCGGCAGAACCAGGTGCTAAGAGGTCGAAAGGTAGCCCGACTAACGGAGTTGTTTCAGTTTACACGCGACCGCTGGTCCGATCAGTTATCGGAATGGATTGTAGGCCAACTGGAAGTGTCATTGGGATCGCCGTCTTTGCCTGGCTGTGGTTGCTCGCGGCGGGCCGGGGACAGCCACAGAGTCTGACATTGGGCGGCTACCAACAGTACCAGCAGACGGCTACGCTGGGCGGCTACTTCCTGGACAATGGCACCCACTATCTGCTGTACGAAAGGCCGAGGGTGACGCGGCCGAGCTTCCTGCCGCTCTCCCATTTTGGCAACATCTCTAGCAACCCGGGCGTGAATGCCCTGGAGACCCTGGACTATCTGCCCACCAGAATTGTGAATGGCAAGAGGATCAAGTGCTCGAGGGCGCCCTACCAGTGCGCCATCAGTTACCAGAAATACTTCATCTGCGGCTGTGTGATCCTGAATCGTTCTTGGATTCTCACCGCCCACCACTGCATCGTGGGCGCGGCCGGGAATTACCAGGTGCGGGCAGGGACCTCACAGCAGAGACGCGGCGGCCAGTTGCGCAATGTCAAGAAGATCGTCGCCCATGCCGGCTACAGCGACTACACCATGAGGAACGATTTGGCGATGATGAAGCTCAGCAAACCGCTCAAGTACAACCGCTGTCTTAAGCCGGTGCGCTTGCCATCGCGGAAAATCAGGCGCTTTCCTCGCTGCTACCTGGTCAGCGGCTGGGGTTTGACCTCGGCCAATGCCCAGAACGTCCAGCGGTACCTCCGCGGCGTGCGCGTCTGCAAGGTGAGGCGTGGCAAGTGCCAAAAGAAGTACAAGGGCACCGGCGTCAAGATCTACAAGGATATGATCTGTGCTGCGAGCCCGGGTAAGGACAGCTGCTCTGGTGACTCTGGCGGTCCACTGGTCCACGGAAACATCCTCTATGGCGTCGTATCCTTCGGCATTGGATGCGCCAACCGCAAGTATCCGGGCGTCTATGTGAATGTGAAGCGATATGTGCCCTGGATAAAGAAAGTCATGCGAAAGTATTAGCCAATCTCCTTCTAGTATATATGTATATTTAAATCTCGTGTCCCGGCGTTTGTGGTTCTCCCGAACAGCTTGATCGATTTTAATGACTTTTTTTTCTATATTAAGTAGTATGAGAATAGTATTTTTTCAGTTTCCTAATACCACCCACCATTTTTGTAATCAGGATTTTGGTATTTGTGTTTGAACAATATCCAAATATTCCACACAAAATGTAAACAAAATAAAGTATACTTTTACCTATTTTTGGCACCGAGGCACCGTGAACTTTGCCAGCAAGACGGAAGGGGTAACAGTTGCACCGTCGAGCAAATAATGCAACAAACCTGCGAAATAGTACAGCAGAAAGAAAAGACGAACGAATCCAACAATAAAAGCAACAGAAATGTGCGTGTGAGGATGTCGCAATTGCGTGAATCTCAATCACACGAGAGGATTGCACGAGATGAACGAACCGGAGACACCCACAGAGAAAACGCTAAAAGGGACATCGTGCACTTATGTACATTCGCTTCGTTCCTTCGTCTATTCTGATCATCCGAAAGTACTGATTGGTGCTATGGACAAAGAATTTTCCTTTTTTCTTGCGCTCAAATTCCAACATTAATCAGATGGCATCTGTAGCGCATTACAAAAAGCTCTACCTGATATGGAAACTCGACCAGAATCACAATAGTAAAGGAATCTTCAAGGTTATTCAACTTTCTGCTTGTGAAAGATCCAAGCTGAGTTTAATCAATGCCAATTTTTGGGAATAGTATTAAAACTAAAGATATTAATATTCAGAACTTGGCCAAGGCGAGATCACCGCTAAAGAAAGGCCTCCGAAAATGTTCACAGAAGTTATTTTAAGCGGTATGCGTGTATCCAGTTCCATATGCGGTAATATCTATGAATACAAAGAAATAGTATAATCCAACATGTAAGACAGCTGCTCGTACCTACCTGCCTTAAGAAATAGTCGACGACCCTATCAATATTCATATACCAACTACAGTGGGTCACCAGCAGCGGTGTCTTGCTGGGTTCATTAGCATTTTATGGCACAGAGTTCACACCCAGAGGTCAAGAATTCGGCATCCAGTTCTAATTTGGTATTGGCGGTTCACGGTTCATTTGTTTTTGTGCGGATGATGTTGAATCCGCACGCATTGGCGATTAATCTCCTGCTGCTGCTCTGTGGCCAGAGAACATGGGCCACATCCCTCAAGGACCGGATTGTGGGTGGAGTAGAGATCCCCATTCAGATGACACCCTGGCTGGCCTCTCTCTCTGTCCAGGGCAACCATAGCTGTGGCTCGGCACTGATCACGCCGCGGTGGCTCGTGACAGCGGCCCACTGTGTCCCCTATCCGGAGAGGTACTCTGTACGTGCCGGATCCTCGTCCGTTAGAGAGGGTGGCCAGCAACGAGCTGTGGTTAAGATCCTCGTGCATCCAGGCTTCAATCCGCGCACACTGGTTCATGACATCGCCCTCCTCCAGACCCGTGAGCCCTTCAAACTGGGGGGCAATGTGCAATTGATAAAACTCCCCCTGCCCGGCCTGAGTGCTCTGCCCAAGACCCTGCTCGTCGCCGGCTGGGGAACAGTCCACGCGAAAGCGAACGCCACGGAGACCAGGCTGCGGGGGACCCTAGTGCAGACCATCGACCAGCGTCGATGCCGGCGCCTCTATGGAGTATGGAGACGCCCTATCACCGATGACATGCTCTGCGCGGCAGCAGCTGGAAGGGATCACTGCTATGGCGACTCGGGCTCTCCCCTGGTACATCAGGGCAGCACCTACGGCATTGTGTCCTTCGCCTACGGCTGCGCGGATCCACGTTTTCCCGGGGTCTACACCAGATTGGCCAACTATGTGTCCTGGATATTCGGTGTGCTAAAAAGTGAAGCCAATTAATTGAGAAACGCCATTGATAATAAAGAATCTTTTAGATATCCTCGGATTATCTGATTTACTAAACCCATAACTGTTTTAGAGCCATCTTCCTCTCGTTCGGAAGGAAGAAAGCGATCTGCTTCGTGTGATGGATGCTGCTCTTCCTGCTAGGATGTTACACAATATGCAAGCGTAAGCGTTTTCCCATCCTCATGCATCTGGGGAGACGCCGCACTCTCCCCTTCGTTCGTGCCCCGCTAGAGAGCGATAAACTTATATTCCAGCAGGCAGTTGCCAGTCGACGGCAAATTTGTGTAAATTATGTATTTGTGCATTTTGATTTCATTTAAACGAAGTTTCCTGATGGCCCCCAGCGCATGTCAAATATCAAAAACCGAAACGCGACTCTGGCAGCCACTTGCGCAACACATATCCAGCAATCCATATCCATATCCCCACATTCACATTCACATCCACATCCACATCCCATCCCCATTGCCGAGGTACCATCCCATCCCCGATCCGATCCGATCCGATCCCAGCTGGCTGGCCAAAATATCACTGCCATATGCCATATGCGGTGGGCGTGCTCCGTTAATGCTGCACTCTGGCGGCCCCCCGAAATTAACATAATCGTGCTGCTGTGCTGTGCTGTGCCGCTCCGACTGTGCCTGTAGCCTGTAGCCCGTCGTCGCATTTGGCGCCCCAACAAAGTGTTGAATGCTGGCGCTGCCTGTCAAGTGGAGGCTCCCAGGCATTGGCACACTCATGTGCCAGACCCCAGATCGGGCTTCAGCTTGAGCCATGATCCTCCTGGGATCGTTGTGCAATGGGAGCATCAAATGTGGTCTGGTTTGACTTTTACAGGGATTTTCTCTTTATAGTTAAAATAGATTTTAATAATAATATGAAAATACGCTTAAAAATTTGCATTTAGCAAGTGTATAGTATGGTTTATATATAGATATATATATATACTATATATATATAGTATGTGTGTGTTTGTTGTGGTTTTTGTTTGTGGTTGTATATAGGGTATCAGCGTTGCAATCTCAAGCATTATTTCACATCACCATCATCTAGTTACGGGTTACGGGTTCTCTTTATAAGTATGTATATTTCGTTATCATTAAGTTACGCTTACACAATTCATTACGTATTCTAGCCTAAATGTATACCATTTTTTGTTTCGTTTTTAGTTCCACACTCCTCTTACTCGATCCGCTTTTACAATATTGGGTTTTCTCTCTCTCTCTATCTCTCTCTCCCTCTCTCTTTCTTTCTCTTTCTCTTTGTATATGTGTTAGGGGCTCATTCGTTCTTTCATTTTTGTAAATTTCAAACTAGTTTCTATATGTGTAAAAAAATGGTTTCAACAGCAAAACTCGTGCACTGTGTTCGGTTCGGGGGTGGACCAAAAGCGAATACATATATATGCACAAACGAATCGACTGCCTTTCAAAAATATCAGTAAAAATGTATGTTTCAAAATCGAACTCACGCGCACGCACAATAAAAAGTGTTACAAAAATGAGACATTAACATTTCACAATTACAATTACAATTACAAGCACACATTAATTGGTTTATCCTCTGTTTTTAACATTCTCTTTGACCAATGCAAAATTTAAAGCTATATAACAATTTGTTTCTCATTTAGTTTTCATTTTTGCATCTCTCGTTTGGACTCTCGTTATCGATGATCTGCACTCTCTGGCGGCTGCATTCTCTTTTGGTGTGTGTTTGCCGCCACTCCACAAAAGCTGCAACAACTCGTAACAGTGGGTCTGTGTGTGGGTGTGGGTGTGGGTGTGTGTGTATGTGTGAGGGGTGTATCGACTAAGGGGCTCGACTCCCCCCTTCAACAGCAGCCACGCCACTCAACTTTCTATTACGATTAGAATGTGTGAAGAGTAGTAAAATAATTTCATTGCCTGTTGAGTAGCGTGTGTGTGTGTGAGCGGGGGGGGGCGAAGGGGGCTCTCCCTATGCTGCTATCTTACAACAAGGTTTACATGGTTTCAGTTATTGCAAATGTGTTTTCTAAACTCAAGTTCTGTGGTTGCATGTGGGCTTCCGATCGCAGGATTCCAGTGTGTTCAGAGACAGAGTGGCGGCTGGCCTAGCCTGGTCTGGTGTGGTGTGGTGGCTGTCAATGCTCTCTCTCTCTCTCTCTTTCCCTTGGTTCTGTGCTCTCTCTCTCTCTTTCTCTTCCACTCTGTTGTACATCACATATTTTACAGTTTAATAATACTTTCTTACACATAATTTATTAATTAGTTCATATTTCTTTTTGCAGTTGGTAGAGCTAAATTGCTGTGGTTTGCTGTCGTTACTCTGGTTGTTTGTTGGCGGCCATTGCACCAGCACCGCGCACACCAGCCAAAGCCGCAAGCAGTCGATTATCTGGTTCTTGTGTTCTCTTGTTCTAGTGGTTGAGTCCTCCTGTCTGCTGTCACCTCTTGAATCCTGCTCCTGAATCCTTGTTCCTTATGACAAAAATGGATTTGTTGCTCCTGCTTCCGGTTTGATCCAAGGCATGTTGTTGTTTTGCTGTAAGATTCATTCTCGAATTAGTAAATCTCTTGAAATTCCCAATCAAGTTTAGCTTTAAGTTAGATTAAGGTGAAAGCAAACTACATTCAGAGTCAATCAGATCAGCCATGTTAATAGTTACTTAGCGATTAGTAGTTATTAAGGTATAGAAGAGACTACGGACTAGTGATCGATTAGAGGCAGAGAGCATGCACATTCGAAAAAACATTTTACCCATTTGCATTTATTGCATTTTGTATGTGTTTTATTTAAGCGTCCAAGCCTCCATGGTTGGCTACAATTAGAAAATATTATGGATCAACGGATGCGATGGCATACCATCTGCTGGTTAAGAGATGTGGTTACGTGTTGCAAGGATGGAAGCAGCAAAGCAAACCGATCTATAGTCATTATATGTACATATGTATATCCAGAAGTTTACCGCGCAGAACAGAAGGTACTTCAGGTGCCTTAATCGTCATTACCAGGCGATAAACCATAGGCACCGCATCCATCTGTTCTACATTCTTATTTCTAAACATATTCGAACGTAGCATTGGATATACAGATATGTACATATTTTTGTATATATAAATAGCAGCGGTCGGTAGGAGTTCACGGGGATTCTCTTGGCCAGAATTCACTGGTACAATTGGCAGCAAGAGCGTGCCCGCCCCTGATCCGATTTACAGCATTTAGTACATTCTGAACATTCTCTTTTCTGCGATCCACACTGGAGATCGGTTTCCTTCACTGCCTTCTCCAGTAAAGCAATTCTGTAGCAACAATTTGTTAGAGAGATCTCATACTTGCAAGTCAAAGAAAATTCAAATAAGAGTAAGAATAACTAAGGAGAACAAACAGAACAGAACAACTAAAGCAAGCAAAATAGGAACAACAAAGACGAATAAACGGCAACTTCTGGCAGCGGGTAGGAGGAGCAACAGCAGCACAACTTCATCGCTGAGGATAGGCATCGTATTAGAGATACACACACTCACTTCCAGGTTGCAGGGAGCCGTAGCTCCCGTGGACATGCCATAGTTGCGTAAATCTTCAGATACAGCTCCAAAGGTCATGGGTGCAATTTTGATACCCGGCGTTTCGGCCAGCGAATCGGATAGGGCGCTGCTATAGCTGGACGCATAGGTGGAGTACAGTCCCGGAGTGCCGTACATGTTGTTGTTGTTGTTGTTGCTGTTGTACATATTGGATTTATATCTTGGATCAGCCTCATGGGCTGTGGGACTATTGAAATAGGGACGCTGTGGCGTCTCGCTGAACAGATCCATATTGCGTATGCTGTCGATGCCAGGACTGGGATTGCTGAGGGTTTTGCTGCTGTACGGATAGGTGTAGATCTGTTCCGTATTTGGCTGTGGATGTGGATGGGAATGGTGTGGTGGGGCAGAGGATATGACGGGGTTACTAAACGCTTGCTGCTTGCTGATGTACGGATAAGTGTAGATCTGTTCCGTAATCTGCTGTGGATGCGGATGCGGATGGGTCGGTGTGGCCGAGGGAATGACGGGATTACTAAACGCTTTCAGTAGCTGAAATTCCTCCATGCCGGAGGCATAGGCAGGGGCCGATGGCATCCCCAAATTAAGACTAGTCGGACGCACGGGTGGTGGTAGCTTCAGCTGCGGTTTTAGGGACATTTGCATGCAACGGTTGGTCGAAAATAGAATGACACGAAGGCAAACGAAAGACAAAAGTAGAAACAAAATGCACAAAAGAAAAAAATGAAGGATACAAGAATTGTGGTTTTGGTTTTTGTTTTGTTTTGTTTTGTTTTGGAAAGTAAACCGAGAAAGTACCGAGAAATTATGAGAGAAAAAGAGAAAAAACCTCAAAAAATAAGTACAAGTACGAAGAAGATTCCCCTAACAGGCCGCTCCACTCACCTGCGACTGACTGACGCCTCCACCCATGACTGGCGCCCAGGGATCCTGGTTCATGCTGACTGCAAAGGGAGCCTGCTGTTTCAGCTGGTTGATGGACGGCACCTGAAATACAGCAGGCCACAAAAAGGCATTTAAATAACAATCGAATCAGAAAAATCCCTAGCTCCACTCACGGCTGGCTGCTGTTGCTGGAATAGATTCGTTTTGGGTGGCATCACGTTGTCGCTGAATGGATTGTAGGCTGGGGCATTGCCCGATTGCGTTTGTGGCGCTATCGGTTTGATCAGATTGTCCAGATTAACCAGCGCCGAGTTCTCGCCGAGGAACGAGTGCGGATCCTTGAGCGGTTTCTTTGCGGTGGCCCCTGTCGAGGGATGGACAGAGCTCGTACTGCTGATGGCAGCTCCGTTGCCGTAGTTCAAAGAAAGCGGATCCATGTCGTCGAGCAGAGAAGCTACAAGAGATCGCTAAAGGTTAAAGCAAAGCCAAAGATCTAGAGATATCAGGGATGGTCCGCTTACCATTATTGTTATTGTTGGAGGCATTCGAATGGCTTTGATCGGCGCTCTTGTTGCGGTTGGTTATCAAATCGAATTCATCAAACTCGGGGGATTGTTTCTGGAAAGGGGAAATATAATTGATTTAGGATTAATCATTCTGGGTATCATTCTTGAGCCTACCTTAATAGCGCCCGTTCCTGCTCCAAGTGCCTTCCAGGGATCATCCAGCGCTGGCTGCACCGGTGCTTCCAGTGTCCAGGGATCCGCTGGTGCGATGGCTGCTGCACCCGCTGGCTCTGCCAGCCAAGGATCCGCAGAGGCGCTGCCATTGTTGCCGGCGTGGCTGTTCGCTGGGGGCGCCGCTGCCAAGGCACTGCCAGCAGTGGTTCTCGTCATCAGAGCTTCGAATGGACCTCCGCCTGCAGGCGTGGCCCCGCGACCATTTTGATTGGCATTCCCATTGGTTTGTAGCCAACCCTCATTCGAGGAGCCGGAGGCCACGGAAGGTGATTGTGTGCGCAGACCCCACGCATCACCGCTGGCGGTGGCTCCCATTCCCAAGGGACCTCCCATGGCCGAAGTCAAGGGCACACCGGCGCCCATGATGGTGCGCGGTGCGGCCGAGGGGTGCCAGGGGTCCACTTGCGGCGAGGAGGTGCCCGACCAGGGGTCTGACAGCTGACTGGGAGCACGGGCGGCGCCGGGCGTGGCCCAGGGATCGACGACGGCCGCAGGAGCGCCGCCAGCAGCGCCCAGCGGCGGACTCGAAATGCTTGTGGCGCCCAGCGAAATGTCCAGCAAGTCCAGCAGATGGCTCTGGGGCTCTTCCTTCTTGGGTCTGGTAATTGGTTGGCCGCTGAAAAAAGGTTGGTTAGATTTTGAGAGGGTTTGTGCTTGTCATTCGACTCACTTGAAGTCCTGCTCGCTCTGGCTGAGGGCCAGCTGCAGGCGGACATCGTCGCTCCGTCGCTTGGCCTCCTCCTGCTCGGCCTCTTCGCGCGACATGGCCATGGCCAGCTGCAGTTGCAGTTCTTCCTCTCCAGCGGTCTGTGGCCTGACCATTTCCAGTTCCGATTGTGATTTGGGCGGCTCCTCCTGCCAGCCAGGCGGCATGTCACGCTGCGAGGGCCCATCAATGTAGCCGTCGCTGCCAAAGCCGCTGGGATGCAGGGCAAAGCGCTCCTTGGCCTTCAGCGCCTTCACCCGCTCGTTCTTGAGCCGCTCGTCGTCCTTGAGGAGATTCACCAGCTGCTTGGCCTTTTCGCGCACATGGGTGCCCTGGTCCTTGCCCTCCTCAAAGTAGACGAACTCGCGCAGCGTCTGGATGGCAAAGATGTTCTCCTTGCACTGCTGCGCCACCTTCTCGGTGCCCGTCTTGATGAGGTACTCGAGCAGGATGAGCGCCTTGTAGACGTGCCGCCAGTTCTTGCCGTGATCGTTGAGACGCTTCCAGATCATTTGCATGATCTCCGAGAAGGCCACCACGTTGTAGGTGAGGTCCGCTATCTCGCCCATGATGGCGGCCGAAGGACCCCACGGATCATTCGAGGTGGCCTCACGCACTTTGACCTGCACAAGGGAGAAGAATCGATTTATAGCATTTCTAGGATCCCAAGATCAACGGATGATTACTCACCTGGGCATCGGAATAGTTGTGCGCTAGGTTCTTGATGTTTCTGCGTAGACCGGCAACATTGACCTGCATATCGTCCTTTTGCTTTCTCACTGTGTGACGAGAAGAATTTTGGGGTGTTTTAGTATGGCTTTATAATGAAGGCAGGTATAAGCTCCTGTAATGAGGGTCCAGGGTTCGAATGGAGGATTGGGATTGGGATTGGGGTTGGGGTTGGGGTTAGGGCTGTGTCTTTGTTTCTCTGTTCAGAGGGTTAGGTTTTTTGTCTAGTTTGATACTTTTGTTGCAAGTTTTCGATTCATTTTGGATTTACGTTACTGGAATTTTGTTTATGTTTTGTCGTTTTCTGAAGTATATTCCATGGCTAGGTTATGTGGCATGTGGCATGTGGCATGTGGCATATGGCATGTGGATCAGTACAAAAGCAAAACAAAAACAAAAAACACAAGAAAGTTCAATGTGTGGATGGATGGATGGGTGGATGGGTGCATGTAGCGTAGGCAGTGGGGTGGGGGGACCTTTTCTTCGGACTCTGGATGTGACAGATATTTTTCTTGAACCTATGATGTACTACATATATGGTTTATGGTTTATGTTTACTGTTTTTTTTTTCTTTGGTTTATGCGGTGTACGAGATAGAGAGAGAGAGATATATATATAGATAATTGGAATATGAAAATGGGAATTAACATTGAGACTTACTTTTCGTTTCGTTTTATTTTTGCTACACACACACAAGAAACTTTTGTGACTGTTTTTTGATTGTGTTCAAAGGCTAGAGGTTTTCTTTGCTTTTATTATTTTTCGTTTCGTGTTTTGTCTCTATGTTTATTGCTGTTTAAGTGCTCCAAAGCAAGCTAAGTATGAGATACAAGATAAATACAATCAAAATACATGGTATAAAAGTACAGATACAGTATACAGAGTACATATAGTTATATATATGCGTATATAGTTAGATGACGGCCAAGATCTCCAACTGGCAAATCTCAGAACACAAAAAATGGTGCACAAACAACAAACAAATGAGTGGAAAGCAAAAACACGCACACACTTTAAAATAATGTTGTTTTTTTTTCTTGTTTTTTTGTTGGGAAAATCGAAAGTCGGAAAAAAGCCGCCTCCGCCGCCGCCGCAAGTCCGCACCGCACGCGTGCACTGCCTTGGGAGATCCAGAAACCTGCCCAAGGGCCCAGACCCAGAAAAATAATTCAATTTGCGGGCAAACAAAATGTGCAACAGAAAGGAATAACAGCACACCAATACCACGAAAAGTTGAAACAAGCTAAGAGTACGTGTACCCAACCGAGCGCCAAAAGCAGACTGTGCAGATGCTCTTCCTTCCCCACAGAATGGCTAAGGAATGTTCAACGTTTACGAATGTGAATGGATATACATACATAATAGGTGTTTCAACAAATACTATAATATAAGAAATGGGATCTTTAGATGTAAAATGTAAAAATGTATGTAGCCTAATCGCTGAGATCCCCTCCATCGATTGTGCTCCACTGCAGACAGTTCCATTTAGCTAACGGACCCCACCACCAGCGGGGACTTTCTGCTTGAACTTAACCCATGACAGACCGCGAGACCCAAACAAGAAGCCGCAAAAATGCAAAATAACCAATGGCGGGGGGAGGGAGAAGAGGGAGACCGACCGGCAGCCCCATGTCTGGAAGGGGAATATGCAAATCTTTCCAAGACAAGCCCGAGCCCAAGTTATGCATTAAGCAACAACAACAACAACGACAACATCTGGCTAGAAAACAGCGTGAAATTATAGCAAATGAATTGATTTTTCTCCCCCACTTTGTTTTTGGCCCGAGGTGCAGATCTATTTTTAAATGCAAAATAAAAAAAAAATAAAAAATGCACCCAAGATAATCAAATTGTTATCGATTGAATGGGAGACGACAAGAAAACAGCAGCGAAAGTTCTGCGAGAGAAAGAGAGTTAGGGGTCCCCAACCTCATAGACGCCCCCATATATCACATTGAGAGCAAGCGTACCGCAAATTGGACCTGATTACTGATAAGATAGGGGCTGTATAGTGCACACACATAAATTGTATTGAGGCTAATGCAGGAGGGCTAGACAATTTAAATAACCTTGCAGATCGATCGATGCCACAGAAATTTGATGGCAGCTCAAGTCAAGCTTCGTGGGATTATCTTTAAACACTAACCAGTGATTTTTTTTTAATAGCGATCGTTGCAGCTACATATATGTAGACCCTTGAGATTGTAATACAATCTAGGGGGTTCTGTTTGATGAACAAATAACTTAAAACTTTCAGGCAGTCCGACAGCTGAGGAATTCGTTTTTATATAAAAACGGTGAATCATGCAACGCTTCTGGAAAATGGTTATAGCAGTATAGTATGTTACCTACTAAAATCGGATAAGAATAGTTATCAAAATACCCAGTTTTCGATTGATTGCACACAACAAAAAAAAAGAAACAATTAGTTATCAGTTGAGGCAATTGAGGTAAGTCGAAAAGCAAATTAACATGTACATGTGTAATGTGAAACTCTACGATCAGACGTCCGATCAAAGTCCCTTATTAAATCGAGAAAATTATCAGGTAGACATGAATGAAAATTAGCCAGTGATCAGCCATCTTAGGACAGTTTTTATGGCTAGTTGAAGCTGGTTTGTTCGATTCAAAGCTAGTTGCACCTGATCTTCAGATTTATAGCTAGGCTGTTGGCCACAATAACCGGTTGTTTCAACTTATTTATTGCCTAATTTTACTACAGTTATTTACAGTTTGAAAACGTATGGTATATTAACCCGTTAATGGCTAGGAATTCGTGTGTGATTTCTTCTCTTCGTTTTTGTTGGATTTTCTCTCAGGTATTTACTCTCATCTTTTTGCTGTTTTTGTTTGTTTGCAAGAAACGCACTTGACACATATTGTAGAGAGCCGACGCGTCGGCAGAACAAACGAGATAAAAATCTACCAAGAACTCAATCGCAACTGTAACTCCCAGATAAAACCCGTTTTTCCAAGACTCCAAGTAAGAGAGTGAGAGGGAGAGAATGAAAGAGATGAGATTCATTGACCGCTTTGCTGCCATAGTAAAGATCAGATGCGGGGGAGAGCAATGGATAACTGTGTTTGTTTGTTTGTTTTCATTCCGCCTGCCTGTCGTATGTCGCAGAAGAAGGCGAAATAATTCAATTAAATGTCGCGCAGTAAGAGAGAAAGAGAGAGAAAGCCACTAGGCAAATGAAGTGCAAGAGCCAAGAGAGTGAGGGTGTGGGGTGGCGCGGGGTTGCTTGCTTGAACTTGAACAAATTAAATGCCAGACCAGACCAGACCAGACAGAGCCAAAGAGAGAGAGACAGAAGAAAAGAGCACAAGTGTGAGAGGACCAAAGTCTCTGGGTCTCTGCCAGTGTCCGTGTGTCTGTGTCTGTGGCTGATTTGAAAGGCAGCAGACAGAGGGAGGTAGAAGCTTTCTTTGTGTTTTTGCACTTGACATTCGGCAAACGGCGACGTTTTATTGCCAAAAATAATACCATATACATTTTCATACATATTTATATGTTTGTGTGGATATACATACATACATATGCATAAACACCGAACGAGTTGCGGATTTACTTTGTTCCAGGGGCAAAACAGAGCCTTGACGGACTCGACCCCAGGAACGGAGCCGGTTCAATGAACGTAACACGCAGAAAGCTTAACCGCTAAGGCGCACTAGGGGGAATCGCCGAAATACACAAGCACTGGAGATCGGCGGCAGCCACGACGTTGCCCGATTGTTATGCGTACTGCAACTGGTGGGGGCTCTCAGTATTTTTCTAAATTGAATAGCAATTATTGAAGGTACGTACAAACATATGTATGTACACTCGAGCAAAATATTCCACATATTCACGAGGCTGTTTTCGCGGCATCGTTGTCAGACGTTTAGCATGTGTTAGCGAAGTGGGGATCACCATTAACCTGCTCTCCTCTCCGCTATCCATGCAAACATAATATAACTGCAAGGTTATTCTCTCTCTCACTTTATCTGATGTACATATCCGATGTATAAAGTCAGAATCAGAATGGACGGATCGTCCATTAACACCCATTAATTACATAATTGGCTACTTGATGAAGAAGCAAGAGAGTTTGTGGAAATAGTGGAAAATATTTGTATTTCCATACAGGTGCGAACAGATGAGCCGCAGAATTAAATTCGCAACATAATCAAACTAAAAACATTTGAAGAACATTCTGATTATCTCCTTAAACATAATATATCTCCCACTATCCCCCTCTTTTTTGATAAGATTCTCTGGAGAAAAATGTTTGCATTTGGTTTACGATAATCTGCTTGACAGACAGGTGCATATAGGGTTAAAATCTTCTTGCACAAAGGTCATTGCTCGCCTGATGCGTCCCACTGTGCGCAACTTGAGCTGCTGTTCTCCGATCAGTGGCGGCGATGCTTAGCCGGGGCTTGGGGCTTATCCCCCCTGAAAACACACACTCCCCTTGTTGCATCTGTTGTGCATGCGGGCGTAAAATATGTGTGCTTGGATGTGTGTGTGTGTGTGTGAGTGATGGGTGATTCTGTTGCCGTTGCCTCTGCCTCTGCACTGTTGGTGTGAGTGTGATAACGAGTCAGAAATGCGATTAGATTTCATTTGTGGCACACACTCACACACACCCGTACGGTTGGACGGGGTACAGTGGGCACACAAACACATACAAGCACACACAAAACTTGCGGAAAATGTGCGAAACTTCATTCATTACTCATGCCCAGGGCCCCCTGCCCTGCCTCCGCAGCATAAACCAGTTCTACCTTTCGACCTGGGGCTACCGTGGTATTGAAGGAGGGGGTGGGGGCGGCTGATGACTAACGCAGCAACGCCGACTTATCAGAAAAAGATTTCAGGGAAACTCTTATCAATAAAAGCACGCTAATGCGAGAGCTTTTCTGCAACACAAACAACAGAAACGCGGAATGTTAGAAGGACGTCACAGTTATGGGGCCAGCCTTTAACGGCGCTGGGGGGGTAGATCGTTTTCAGATCAATGTAAAGCGAATCCCAAGCGGAAATTCAACTGAAGAGAAAACCACTGCGCTCTGCCCACGACCGACTGAGCCGCCCCCTCTCTCTGCTCACCTGCACCACTGCTGCAATGACTCTGGTCTCTTGTTGTTGTTGTTGTTGTTGCTGCTTCGCTGCTGCAGTCAGTCCGTGTCGGTATGGAGCTCTCTCTCTGTGCGTACGTCTATGAGTGTGTGTGTGTGTATGTGTGTCTGTGTGACGTCGACGACGACGACGGCGGCGACTACTCCTCCCCTTCTATCTAGTTTTTTTTTATATTTTACGACTTTCTTTTCAAATGCGCTCGCTGCCAGCAAACGGATAGAGTCACAAGACGGTGACGGGCAACGGCGACTGCGACGGGACGAGAAAAACAACGACGTCAGCAGAAGTAACGCGCACGAAAACGAGACGACGCAGATCCTCCGGAAGAAGGCGGAAATCGGTGAACAATAGAACGATATTTACACTTTGCACTTTGCACAAGACAAAAAATGGAGCAGCGGAATAGCTATTCGACAGGGTGTCTGTCTTGTTTACGTCCGTGGCAAAAATTTGTGAGAATGCAATACAGTGTGACCACGGATTCGTCGATAAAGTATACGGTCTGACTCTTAGAAATATACCGAAATATGCCGTCTAATTTTCAAAATATACCGTAAATATACCGACGAAATATTTGTATTAAAACTCTATCATATTCCTCGTTTTTATATTCGGTTGAATATCACTAGATAGCTAGGACCTTCAGCCTTAAACTCATTACTTTTTCCGATTGATGAATCATTTTCCTACAAGATTGACCAATTTTAAGTACCCTTTTTTTCTGATAGTGTCTAATATAAGGTTTAAAAAAAAAGGTCAACAACAATTTCCACATATTAACTATTTTTACATTTTATCTAAAAGCCACCTCTAAGCTAACTACACACTTGCTACATATTAACTACATTTGGATGTAATTATCGGAAGCGACAGCTGAAGGTGTGTAAAATACAAGAAAATACTATTAAAAGTATAAAAGACTTATCGATCGGAAAACTACCAAAAATGTACCAAAATATATCGCCTCATTTTCAACATGAATTACACCGCGAAAATAAAATTGGGTGTAAATTTTTCTTGTAGATACATCCTATCATTCCATTTTACTCACCAAAACCCCACGATTTCTTTTATCTGAAGTACAAATTATGTAAGTTTTATCGTTTTCGTGGATTTAAATACCCCCCTGGTCGAAAAGGAATTAGTTTTTTCCATGACCGATTTTTATATTCGGTTTAATATTATAAGCTAGCTAGGCCCCAAAAAATTGAATATATACATATTAGTATCCTACTGAGGACTATGAGGACTCTTTTTTGATTGCGTCTATAATAAGTAGACCTCGGATTTTGCATATTTGCATATTTTTAAAGGATTAAGATAGAAAAATTCTGATGACTCGTACTCGCAGCACCTCCGATCCTCCGATCCCCCAGCCAAGTGCTTTTCAAATATAGTCAAAGGAAATCAATTGAACAAAAATTAATAATGAGCCCACGACTATGCTGATGAATCAAATATGCAAAATCCGAGGTCTAATAATAAGGTTATACCGAAAAACTTTATTTTGATTTTAATTTAAATTTTAAGTTTCTGTTTGATAGAAAATAAGGCCGTGCTGCTTAGCGGAATTATGCATTTCATTATTCTTGTCTAAATTTCCAATTTCTGGTATTTCGAGAGGCAAGTGCCAACCAACCAGCAATTGAGCTGCTGTTTATCTACCACATTGCCAATTCTGCTGTCTAAATACTCTTCCAGAGAATCTTGATTGAAACCCCTGGTTTTTACAAGCTAAATAAATATATTTTGTCTCTAAAAGGCTTTTTGAAAAATGATAGATTATTTTGCAAGTTTAAATAAACTCTTCAGGCAATCAGCTTGAGAATCTGTTTCGGTAATATTATTCAGGACGAATTTAATCTCTCCCAAATAAATTAATTTAAGCGATTCCTTAATGTCATATTGTCACCGAAATATGTATGGTTTAACACATCGAAGCCATCGTTCATACTTTTTAAACACATTGATGTAGCAATGTAGAATTGTATCACAGTGAGACTCCTGTGCAATGGACTGATGATGGATCAGCTCCAAAAGGATTTCGGTCCAAAGAAATAAAGTTACCCATAAGTTATGTTATCGCAGCGCCTGAAAGCCAAGACGAACGTTTGGCAAGAGGGATGGGGCAGCGGCAGTACAACAGCCAGCAGTATGCAGCAGTCTGGACCCGATCTTCCAGGTCGAATGGCATGTTGAGCAGGAACATGGGCTGCTCCAGGAGCTGGGTTCGTTGGTTAATCTGATTCTTGAACATAGACTTTTTTTATATGAAAAGATTATTATCTTTTTATCTTCTGATAGATTGTTAAAAGTAAAAATGTCACTTAATTCATTGAAAGATGCAGAAACTAACGACTGTTTTTCGATATTTGACTTTTATTTACGATTTTTATTTAGAATACCATTTTCATTTCAATATAATTACACGCTAAAATCTAATTTCTCATCTTGTTAACGAAACGGATAACAATAGTATATAATTTTTGTTTTTCGTTTTTCTTGTATAGTGTGTGTGTGTGTGTGTGTGTGTGTATGTGCGTTGCTACGTCTGTGTGAGTGTGTGCGTTGTGAATGTCTGCGCTTTTTTGCTTAGTTTTTCGCATTTTCCGGCTCCGTTTTTGTTTTGTTTTGCTGTGTTTTGTTTTGCTGTTTTCTAGATCTAAGTACCTAACATTTTAGACGAATTGCAACGAACGTGTATGGTGTGTACAGTTATTAAATGTTTAATATGTATATTTATATGTGTATGTATGTATATATGCATATTCCATAACGCCATCTGTCGCGCTTCCTTCCTTCCACTTCCGTTTCCGCTCTCACGATCTTTCACGGTTCTTTCTTTCGTTCGTTTCTATTCCTATTCCCACACACACATCGATAAATTGAGCCCCCAACAAAAAAGCTTAAAGCATAAGACAGTACCGTTCGTCAGTCCTCGTTGTGTTACGTCATGGGTCATGGGTCATCGATACTCTTCTCCAGTTCCTCTCCTCTCCCCTCCTCTCCTGCCTGTTGCCCCGTATCAAATGAAATCGAATCCACAAAAAAAAAAAAAAAAAACACATTATGTCCGGTCCCCGTCCTGGCATCTTTTCGATTTAGCGATCGCTTAAATAAAACATAAAAACTAAATTAACTTAAGGCATACTCGTACGATACACATCCAAATCTCGTCCCCCGCCAGCCTGCCTGCTCCTACGCCCGCGCTGCGATTTATATTTAAATATTCGTTATGTCCCCTTACACGGGGGGCACCGCCTCACTCCTCGGGCGGCTCCTCAGGCACCTGCAGACTCTGGGCCGACTCCGCGTGCACGGAATTCGCCTGCGAATCGGAGTCCTCCTCGAGCACATTCGTTTTGCTCGGCGGCGGCGTGGGCGGCTGTACCAGATTGGGTATGTACTCCACCGTCTCGTACTCGGTCTTGGCCACCGACTCGTGGTCCAGGTCCCGCTCGTGGTCGTGCTCGAGCGGATCCTCGACCGCGACAGGCGGCACCGCCTGATCCGCCTCCTTGGGCACAATGGGCAACTCCCCCCCGGCGATTCCCGTGTCATTGATGGGCATGGGGTCCGCGTGCGGCACCACATTCGGCTCCTCGATGTCTAGGATGATGGGCAAGGTCTCGTTCGGCTTCGGCGTTGTCGTGCTAGTCGTTGTCGTTGTGGGTGCAGTGGTCGTCACCAGCTCCGTGGCAGCCATCTGACTGTTGGGCGTCGTTGTTGTCGTCACTATCGCAGCGGTGGTTGTGGTGTTCGTGATGGGCGGAATTGGTGTCGTCGTTGCGGTCTCATTCCTCTCCAGTTCACTCTTGAGCGGCACAGGCCAAGGCGTGGTGGTGGTGGTGAGTAGAGGCGGCAGGGGACCCACCGCCGTGGTGCCAATAATCACTGGATTGATCAGCGGCTGGCCCAGCGTGGCTATGAGCGGCGGCAACAGCTCCTCGTTGGTCTTGAGCAGCGTCGGCACTAGCATCTGCACCACCGGCTTGGCATCCTCTCCCCCACCGATCTTTAGGTTGGTCATCAGCAACGGCAGGTCAATCTTGTAGAGCATCGGTAGGACCGTGCATACTTCCTGGTCGTTTTCAAAGCACTGCGATCGCCCACGGATACGCGCATCTTGGACGGCCATCAGGGGGCAGAGCTCATTGAGGCGCACATCACACATGATCGGATTATCTGCGAAAGAATATGGAGAGGCATAAATGATCGCGGTAGTCAGGGTCTGGGTCTGGAGAACTCACCATCCAGATGTATCTCCAGTTTGCCGGCTACATTGTGATTCTTGCAGCGCGTATTCGTCACGAGCTCGCTCGAGATAGTCGTGATTTGGTTGTTCGTCAGATTGGCCTGGCACAGCACGGGCAGTCCGTTGAAGTCCCGCTCCAGTTTGGTGATGTTGTTGAAAGCCAGCTTTAGGATCTTCAGATTGGGAAGCATCGTCTGCGGAAAGGAGGAAGCGAGTGTATTTTAGAAAACAAAGTTTCAGAGAGTGTCGGGGTCACCACTTACGGTTTCGAGAGGCTTGAGCTCCACCAGCTGATTGCCTGTCATGTCGAGGATCTCCAGTCGTTGCATGCCATCAAAGTCGCCGAGCAAGAGATGCTCCAGTCGGTTTGCAGACAAATCGAGTATACGCAGATTTCCCAGACCGGCCAGGGCGCCATCCAGGGAGACGATCTGGTTGTTATCGAGTCGTAGTGCGAACAGCACAAGCTCCTGCACTCCCTTGGTGCTAGGCAGGAGTCGGCTGATGCGATTATGGGACAGATCGAGCCGTTTGAGCAGGCGTAGGCCGTGCAGCTCCTCCATGGAGAACTCTTCCATGTCGTTGAACGAGAAATTGGCGATCGTCAGCTTTACCATGGGCAGGAGCGAAGAGTTCAGCGAGCGAATGTGGTTGCTGGCAAGGTGGAGGACATCCAGGCGACCGCAGGCCTGAAACTCGTCCTGGGCCAGGTACTCCAGCTCGTTGTTGCCGGCCAGCAGTTCTTCGAGGTCCTGCGAGTTCCTCAGGACGCGGTCAAACGAGCGCAGGCGATTGAAGTGCACGTGGATCGTCTGCAGATATCGCATCCCGGCCATGTTCGCCGGCAACCTTTCCAGCCGATTGTTGTGAGCCATTAGCAGGCGCAGTCGGCTGCCATCCGGCAGCTCCCCATCCAGGTCACTGATGTTGTTTGCATTGATAAAGAGCGACTGGAGCACGTGCAGGTCATGCAGCGACCCATTGAGCGACTCTATCTGGTTGCGCCCCAGATGGAGGATTAGCAGGCTCTGCGGAAAGGCGCCTCTGTCCAGCCGCGTGATGTTGTTGCTCGGCAGGATGAGGTTCGTCACCACCTGGATGCCCTTCAGGTCGTCCTGCTGCACCGCCCGTATGTTGCAGCGCCCAATGTCCAGGGTCGCCAGACTCGGCATGTGGTTCAAGACGTGCTTCGGGATCTCGTCGAGTTCGTTGTCGCCGACGCTTAGGTAGGTGACATTCGATAACCCTCGGAACGGCAGCTCGGGCAGCGATCTATAAATAGCGCCAAGAAAAAACACACACATCCATTACCACTTCGTGCAAGTATTATTAGAAGAAGCCCGAATCGGATTCGAGATCATCAGATGGAATGACTAGGCAACGTATCCCGATAATCAAAATATTAGTGCATTATTGATTTTAAATAAAGAAACCACTTGCAACTGGAATGCAGTTTGAATACGGGGAATATTAATAAGTCTACAGGAGGAGGTCTAGATATTCCTAAATCCCACAGAAGCGGAACAACTTTAGGAACTGCTGGATTATCTCCATTATTGATTTAGATTATAGTTTCATACAGAAACTTTACATAATTATGTACAAACATGCACTAGTCTTATCAGATGGGTCCATTAGAAGCAGAACCCACCTCTAAGAAGAAACCAGCTGTTTCCGGATAATTCCACTGCCACCAATCGCGGAAATCTGAATGAAGTGACGAACTATGTTTGTTTATGAAACAGAGGAATTTACGAGAGGCATTCTCGTAATCGGGGACGCAATAACAGCGAAATTTGTATTCCCTTTCTCCTGCATGCTATAGGGAAACCTCCAATCCATCATATATGTACCTTTCAGTTTTCAAGATGTCGTTACGAATATTGGCTACAAATTGTTAATTATCTGCCAAAATGGTTCTATTCTTACTTAATCAATAAACTTTGGATCATCCTTTCTTTGATAGAATAATAAAAGAGAAAATCGCAACTGGAGTTGAAGAACATCGCTCTAGAAATTACCGAACAGCAAATGATTCAAATGAATATTTGAATCGATGATTCATTGAAAGCTCTTATTAGTTTTTAATCGAATAAAGAGGGTCTGGGTCTGGGTCCGGTCTGATCATCCCAGCCCTGGTTCCATCCACACTTTGGACTCGATGACGTAGGCTTATCAGGGACTGAGAGCCATACCATACCCATTCCAGTAGCCGATCCCAGCCAGAGATCTGTATCTTTATCGATGTCTGCAGGTGGCTATTAAGTTGTCGCCGTCGAGGCGCCAAACTGGCCCATGAATGCCATCCATATTCATGATGGGAACTGGGCTGGATGGCGTGCAAATTGCCCGCTTGGGGTGTGGGGACGGGGACGGGGACGGCACTAGCCATAGAGTGGACATCCTTGGCGCCCGTTATTGGTACAGGTAGTACGTGCAGAGATACAGATACACAGGTATACACGAGCGAAAGCAGTGCAGTTTCTAGATTGATTGGCAGACGCTATTTTTAGAGGCATCCAGATCCAGCCAGACATCCATCCCAGCCACATGATCTTGATTGATTGTCCGGCTCCAAGGAGGAGGCAGAGAACTTGTCAAGCGTTGATTATGTAATGAGAAATGCTACGAGTAGCTGCAGGAGAACAGGAGCTGCTGCTGCTGCTGCTGCTGCCGCTGCTGTTGCCTGCCAGCCGTCGTAGATACTGTATCTGTATCTATAATGAGCCCGTTGAACTTGAGCACATGTGGCAGTACATACGAGTAGTAGATAGATGGAGATACAGATGAAGATGAAGATGAATATGAAGATGGGTGATGTTGTTGATGGAGATACATACATAGATACATACTTAGAGGTGCACACACATCTCTCTCTCTCTGTGTTTGTGTGTGTGTATGTACCCGATATATCTTCAATTCCTTAACGTCAGCGGCATAATTGTCACACGACCTAAGCTTGGCCCCTCGATCATTGATTGAGCGTAATAATAAAATTCAATTGGACTGCCTGCCTCTCGGCTCTGGACTGACCCCCAGATCGCAGAGCACCACAGAGAACCCCTGAATTGTGAGGAGAATAACAAAAACATGTTCGAAACATTCCATTTCGGTCGTAATCATGGGGTATTGACGCTTCGTTTCAGCCCCAAAATATCAAAACATCGAAACTTTCCTTCTCATCGATTGTTTACTTTCTCGATTTCAAAAAACAACCCGAAAATCCATAATTTTCTATCGGATGAGGAGGAGGAGGAAGAGGAAGAGAAAGAGACTGTGACTGTGGCATTATCGCATTGGGCCCAGACAGACATCCGATGATCGGGGGAATATTCCATAGTCGATTCGGTCGCGCGGGGGCATCTATTAATTATGCACGAGAGTAGTTATCATAATTAATTGTCAGGCAAACGAAGCCGTCAACACTTTTCGCACTTTCTCAGGGCTGCCTGCTGCTGCTGCTGCTGGTGCTGGTGCTGGTGCTGGTGCTGGTGCTGCTGTTGATGCACTCTGATAATAGCAATAACAACCATATTAATAGCCTCAAACAAATCTGCGAGTGATTGAACATATAACCTACGAGTGTACGCAGACACAGATCTATACAATATACATATGGGATGGGATGGAATGGGATGGATGGATGGCTTATCGCCTGAGAAAAGCACAAGACCAATGTGATCAATCTATCAAAAAGGTCATATACGAGAGAGTGTATTACTCATTCCCCATCCACATCCCCATCCCCATAGCGTACCATACCACACCATCGTGATCTTGAGAGCACCATACATTCACATTCTTCTCGGGTGTCCTGTGCGCCGTAGAGTTCACTAGAGGCTGTGGCTGCTGCCTCCTCTCATTCAATAGTTGTCTACAACTCGAATGAGTTCTGATTAAACCGATCGTAAAAAGCAATCATAAAAATTGAGTTTATTATTTTGGCGCCAGTCATAAAACACAGATTGTACATAAATAAAAATCAACAAAAAACAGTATCTCTTATCAGGGGACTACTGCTGTGCGTCCAAATGTGATCCATATATGGGCTAAGAATGGAACTTAGGAATGTACTTGGACTACTGGGACTTTGAAATCACTCCAACCGAAGGAGGAGCCATATTCTATTAGATGTTTTAGAGCTCTGAATGGCTCTATCGGAATGGGGATTAAAATTGGGCAAAAGAAAGCCATCTCAAAAGAGCAGAAAAAATATAAAATTTGCATATTTGGGACATTTTTTTGTAGAATTATTTGCGTTTAAAAATTTTGTTCGGGACTTTGGAGCTGCAAAGAGATATATCTTTTAATTATCCTAAGCCGCAAAGCCGCATTTCCTTTCACTTTAGATGGAATCTTTTTGTTTACCGAGAGACTGAAGCAGATGCTTGTTCAAAGAACTGGACTGCAAATGGATCATCAAGATGTGATCTTCACAATGGAAGAGTTTATTCATTCATTATGGGATTGTCTTTCAAATTTTTTGTCGAATCGATAACGCCCGGAATCACAGACAGAGATGAGGAAACTCAACCGAGCCGCTGATACGAGGGGTGCTATGAGCGGAGAAATCGTGATCATGATTCGGTCCGATCGGTCGGTGCCGTTGCCGTTGCCGTTGCCGTAGCCGTTGGTGGTGCCTCATAGAACCACACACAGAAACGCACACAGGCACAGGGTAGCAGTATTTTTCCTGACTTGGTTGGCATGATTTGGTCAGAGCGCGATATTAAGGCAATAGGTCAATTATTATAAATTGACATCAATGTAAAAAGTGTTCGCCAGCCTCCGATTCAGTGGCAGTGGCAGCACGCGCTCTTCGCTGAATGCAGAGCAAGAGCAAGACAGAGATCGGAGATCGCAGATTGGGGAGATTGGGGAGATCGTGCAACAACACTGATTCGATTAGGTCGAGTAATTAAATCATTCAGTTTTACATACGAGTATGTGCACATTCGAGTGATTGATTGAATGACTGATTGGGAAATGGATGAGAAAATTAGAAACCGCTCGAATGTAATCCCAGGAAAATCTAGCAACAGTCATCGGAAGCTTCTGGAGAGCCAAGCCAGCCCTAAGTACAGAGCGAGGCTTAATTTATTGGGAAGCTCCTCCCACATAGGGAGGGAACGTACTCCCTTTTCAATTAGTGTCAAATCTATAAAACTCCATGTGATTCCCCTGTGATGCATAACCTTTTCAACTGCAAAAACTAATTATATCATTGTCTTCTAAGAATTGGCTGATGTTTCTACGACTAAAAATAGACTAGAACCTTGTTGGAATTGTTTTTTTTTTATATTTATGAAGAAATATTTCACTGTGCTCTTTTTAAATAATACAATGTTTAAATGCTTCTAAGAAACTCAAGATATTTAAAAACCGATTTAAAAAAATACGAAATTAACGTATTATTATTGAATGAAACACGTGCCACAAAGCAGTAGGTTTCGTGGCGTGGGGCACAAAGAAAGCCTTGAGTCATGCGAGTATTTTGTTTTGAGTCCGATCTCCATTATAATTATAAAGCCGTCGAAGTCAAATATCAATGAACCCGCCGGCAGGCGCTTATGAAATAGGCTCGAATGTTGTTTCTGCTCGTATATTTTTGCAACTGCAGGGCGGAAACAGAGATGGGTACAGGGACGGACAGGGGGTCGTATTTATTTATATTTATATTTGTTATTTATTATTTTTAAATTGCAAATATATAAAAACACAACACAATACGACGCAGCGGCAGTGAGCGGCACTGAGCCGCAGTGGAATCGGATTTCATTCAGAGTCAGAGTCAGAGCCAGAGCTAGAGCCAGAGCCAGAAAACGTGCAAGCCCCGACGCTGCAAAAAGCGATTCCAATAAACTGCAATTATCAATTTTGTATACGCATTAAGTATACGACGCGTCGCTGGCGGTGTCTATAGTCGTATATGCCATATATACCATTTATAGAGACCGTAGGTACCGAGTCGCTGTAGAGCAGAGACAGGGGCTATATGTGTATATAGATGGGGAGCCTCCTCTCTATGTACATATGCATATACATCATGTGTACTCGGTGGAATTGATAAGCCGCAGCTATTCAATTATCAATAATACAAAAAGACGAAAGCCGGGACGGACCGCGAGAGGCAGCCGCTTCTTCTTCAGAGATGCTTAGTTGGTACTGTATTCCGATAGGATCCAATCAAATCGAATCGAATCGAATCGGCTTTGGATCGCATCGGATCTAATCTGGTGGCGCAAACAAACGGTTTTCCTGGAGCCCCGGCTCGTAATTTGTATCAATTCATGGCATGGCATGGCATGGATGGAATGGAATGGAATCGGCTTGTGGACTCCCGACTAGCAGCAAAAAGGCGCGCGAGCTGGCCTTTCCACTTCCTAATTGAAAAATTAAAATTAAATCGGTAATTATGACTCTCGACTTGACCGGGTCCACCTCCATTCCATCTCCATCTCAATTTGCCCAATTGAGGGATGGATGGCCATAGATAATGAGGCGTCTCCATCTCGGATCTCTCTTTGACGTCAACTCAAATCCACCCCGATCTGTCCGGGCTGTCCATTCTGTCCGTTGTTATTGTTTTAGTATCTACTTGGGATGTAAACAAGCCCTGGGAGTAGCAGAAAGCACATTTTTCGTGCATTTACATAAGTAGAATAATATGTACTGTATATGGAAATTTGTATACTTTTTTCATTATATTTTGCTCGGTTTTTATTGGGTTTAAGGAACCTAAATTGATAGCCATGCGAGCGGAAAATTCTGCTTCTCAACGGAACCCAGGGAACTGCCGTCAGGCCAGGCCAGGCCAGACCAGGCCAGGGGAACTGTCTGCCGACAGCCGACAGCCCGGCCTTGAACCATGCCCATGTCTCCAGGTCTCTGGATATTAGCAAATGATATACGATCGATATCTAATTTAAAAATAAGTTCAAATCACCTTAGTCCATTCCATTGCATGCGTAGCTTGTATAGGTTGAAGTTCATATCCGTAAACGATCGCATCTCCAGGTCGTCTAGTTGGGAGTGGGTGATCTTCAGGTCGGTGTGCACATCGGGATTTAGCTTATTGGCCAGGGTGTCCACAATGGCATTGAAGGACTCTAGCTTTTCGCAGGAGAGCTCCACATAGTTGGAGGCCTTGCCGGTCTCGCAGGTGCAGGGCGAGATTTCCGGACGGACCGAGCACTGCAGCGAAGCTATGTGGAACACGGCGTACATGAGGGAAGTCATTTTCTGGCCGTCGCTCGCTCACACTCTTTTCGCTATAATTAATTTCTTTAATTCAAAGAAGGCACAGGCACTTTCTCCGAGTCACCTTACACACACAATTCACAACTCACGAAGTAACAAAGTCACAAAGTCACAGTTCACGACTCACTATTCACTGCTGTTCGGATCGAGGATGCGGAGGTGCATGCCGTTGGGCGGCGGATTATCAACTGTTTGTACGATTCAGTGGCGGCGCAGGCAGCTCGGGGAATATCGCTGGCTGGGCCCGTGGTCTGGGGAAAACACACACGCACACACACACAAACACAACCAACGTCTCGGCGATGGGCTCGATCGATGGGCTAAGCGAACAGATGTGTGCGTGATGCGGGGGTTTCCATAGTTTGCCTTAGTTTTCCGGCAGGATTTTTCGGATTTCGGGTATTCTGTGGAACCGATCCTCACTTTTCGAGCTCTGGCATCGAATTTCACTGACTTCCCGTTGCGCTTAGGCGTAAGTCGAACGGCATGCACACAGGGGACGGACCGACACACCACACACGCTGTGCAGGGCACCCTCTCGGATCGGGGGTTTGGGACGGAGATTGGGCTCCAATCCAATCCAATCCAATCCACTCCGCCGTAGTCGTAGTCGTACCGCGCTCACTTGCCGCGCACTCTCTCTCTTTCTATCTCAGTCGTTCGGCTAGGCTGACCTCTTGACCCGCGCCCCAGTGTACGTAGATCGGAGCAATGCTTGGAATTAATCTTCTAAAAAATTGTTGTATTGTTGATTTGTTTTCGAAAAAAAACCGCGAGTACTGGGAGTATTCTGTACTCTGTGTGTGGGTTGTGCTCGTATGGGTACTACTCGTATAAGGTATAAGGTTCGATCGAATCGATCTCTCGCGCACTCGCAATATTTCCCGATTTCTAGCCCGGTGATCACGTCTTTATTCCAGCACGGTCCGCTGCGAGTGTGGGTCTGGTCTGGGAGTGGGAATCAAATCGCTGAGGATCCGATCCGATCCGATCCATCCGTATGCTGCGCTGCCGCTGCGGCGCGTCGCTGCTACTTCTCGTCGCTCTCTCTCTCTCTCTCTCTCTATCTCTCTCGAGGTTTCGTCTTCTGTTTCTGCTGCACTCGCAGAGCTCTCGTGTCTCTTGTTTCTCTCTCCTGTGGAGCGACTTTTGGGTGGTTTGAGGCGCAAGTTTCGGCCCAAAGGCTATATCTTTTTAAGGTGAGGCATAGGTGATGGACTCTAAGAGGGCGTTCTCTCAATGGGCACCTATATATTTAGCCGTGGGAGAAAGAGAGAGCTGCAATCAATAGGCAACTCGAAAGAGCGGAAGTGCCTCCTAAATTATGAAAAGGTGAAGGTTTTGCGGAGAGCCCTCCCAAGGTAGATGAATGGCCTCACCTTTTTTTAATTACACCTTGGCCATTGGCCTATTGGGATGGAGGTAGGTAGGGTAGGTGGAGGCCTGCTGCCATGCCACAATTGTGCACGACACTCTATTACATGTGTTCCTGGTCTCTCGGCGCCAGGCATCAATCTCCATCTCCCATCGCCCATCGCCTATCTCGATCTGCAGCAGCAGCAGCAGCATCAGCAGAAGTCGGCGCCAGCGCTGCCTCCGCACATTGCTGCCACAGTGCACTGCTTGTGCGTGTTCTCCTCCAAGATGTGCCCCCTTTGAGTGCGCGGCTGGGAGTTGTCTTCTCAGGAACCTAGGCCATGCCGTCGTCGATCTATGTATGGGGCATCATTATCATCACATCATCATTGATGTACGGGTACGAGATGCATATGGATATGGACACATGTTCGATACACATGCTGCTGTTACATAGCCACGCACATATATACATATGTACAACCCTATGTATGTACATACATATGTACATATGTACGTGCATGTGGTGCATCTTGTTATGCTGCTTGTTTGTCTGTCTGGCTGCCACTTTTACGCACTTTTGATAAATTGTCCTTTACACACTGCCACGCTGCTGCACGCACATATGCGCGCTGCCGCCTGCCACACAATCTGGCAGCATCTTCGGGAGATGTTTTTAATTACTATTACTCCGATCTGCTCCGATCCGTTCCGTTTCAGTGCCTTATGCCGAGATGATCTTGGGAATGCCTAGGCTCTGTGCTCTGTGCTCCGGGCTCTGGGGTCTGGTCTTGAGGTCAAGGATTAGCGACGACACTAATTGAGATCGAGCCAAAAACATTTCAATCCCCCAGTGACTGTGATGAAAATTTTCCATCGAACCTACTTGGCGCCAGCCTCAATCACAGTGCAGCAAGGGAGCAGTAGGCCTGCGAGGAGCCATGCATCAAAGTCTGCAGCCTTAATTTATTTCAAAGTTCTGGGGACCCGCATACATAATGAACCAGGGGCCCCATAAATGCCCAGGCTGCGAATTCCGCGCATTCCCCGAGACGGAGACCGGAGACGCCGACCAGAGACCAGAGACCAGAGAGCAGAGAGCAGACCCAACCGAACCGCTTTCAATGCGCGTGCCAGCTCTCCCCTTTTGGGGGCAATTAATCAACGGGTGGAGAGGCCTTCAAGTGATTGCCACTTCTGCCTTCTGGCGGTGACACACACGCCCGGTCGCATCAGCCGCATCGCATCGCCATTTAGGCTGCAATCTCTGGAGTAGTTTGGGTACTGTTCTTTGTACGAGTTGATCCTTTTAAACGATCGATAAAGATCCGACCTAAGACTATTGGGATTCCCTTTTTCATACCCATACGATTCGACTATGTGCCTCCTCCAGCAGGTGCTCTGGAGTCTGTCCTTGTGCCTGTAGGGGATTGGCTATTAAATATCCAGAATATGGTGGATTGGTGGACCCTGGGATAGGATGTGAACTGCATAAGTCCGTTAGTCCACCAAGCATCATTTAATTGTTTCTCAAAGGATGCACCATATCGATTTCGAATTTCTTTTGAGCATTAAAAAGGTGGTCACATGACATTGCTGTTTTCTGCTTTACACTTTCGAAACGCACTGTCCACTGTCACGACCGAAAACTGTTGGTATTAAAAATATACATCGATTACGTAGCCACTCTATTTATAAAATCCAATCATCACAGAGTAAATATTTAAAGAAAAGCGCGATATATTAATTATTATTATTTATTCGTACAATTTTTATTTTCTTTGCTCGATTTTTGTTGTTTTTGATTTTGCGTATTTCTTCTTGTTTTTGCACATAAATATACTCAACAATTTTAATGTGACACTTTTTCGTGTTTCGAGTGCAGGCGACAACAATATTAAGAGTAGGATAAAGGAATTTCGTGACGATGGGGGATGGGGTCCGCTTGGATGGATGGAAAGGCAGATGGCGCGCCAGGTCGGTTGGTGTGGGATGCGGACCGGTGTTGGTACAGGTCGTTCCCTGTAGAAGCCCCTTCCTCTGCTCCATTAGCCGCGCGTAGGTTGTTGTAATGGGTCTGTTTTTGCACTGTCGCCACTTGAGCGGTGGCTGCAAATTCCTGACTATTCGTCATCAACAGTCATGTGCCTTCAGGCGGCTCACGTCAATCGGCGCCAGCCAAAATATTTAGCTGGAATTCGGCTGTCGTCACGGGTCTCTGTTGGCCGAGACCCAATACGTCACGCGACACGGGGACGCCATCGCCACTTGGACTGCAATTGAAAGCATTTAGATGGTATCATGCCCTACCAAAGCCTCATCGTGTGTGGCCCTAGTCCATCCGCCGTTCATCAGCCATCGTCGATCGTCGATCGTCCATCGTCCATCGTCCATCGCCTTTGTTCCGGTTAATATGCTCCTTCTTTTTTGTATCGTTGTCCCAAATGGCTTCGCTTTTTGTGTGGGTTTCATTTCGTTTCCAGCAGTGTGTGGAAATATCGGTTGGGGATTATTATTATCATTCTATCGTATTACTCGGTGCGCTGGGTGTGGTGGTACTTCCGTATTCTGATTCCAATTGTGGTTGGTTCCGATTATGGTTTCCTTTGCCTGTTGTCGCCGCCGCTGTCGTCTCATAGTTTAAACAGAACTTATCAATTAACTAAAGTACTATATGTACGGTATACTTAAAGGTATAATGTACAACAAGCGCCACACACGCACAAACACACCGACGATGTGATGGGGGGGTCGCTTGTTAAGCTCCCAAAAGGTTTTTCGTCTACTTATGCTCTGTGAACTTGGCGATCTGCGGATACTTGCTGGGCGTAAAGTCAACGTCTTTCTTGATCCGATCCCGCACATTGGTGCGCATCGCCTCCGTGTAGGAGGCCAGCAGGGACGCATCGTGGGTCATCGAATCGATCACAGCATCTACGTTAACTGAGGAGCTGGCGGCAGTTCCGTTTGCATTGACACCCAGCCCGGCGCTCTGAATGGCCCGCTGCACCCCGCTGGCAATCAGACACTCCACGTTGGCCGTGGGCTTATCCGTCTGGATGATCTTGCGACGCTTGGCGGACATGCCAGAGATGTAGGCATCAGAGTAGGGTGGCTGAGGGCTGTTTTGCTGCGGAAACACCGAGAGATTTTCATTTCTGATCAGATGGGGCAAGTTTGGGGCACTTACCTCAGCCTGCGTCTGTAGGTCGCGCGTTATCGCGGGCAACCAGTCACTGGGGAAACTCATGTGCCAGGACTCGGAGCCGAGAACCACCGGTGGAAGAGATGTCTCCGCTACGGGAACACTGTTGCTGGTGGTGGTGGCGGTGGTGCTTGTGTTGCTGTTGCTGTTACTGGTACTGCTACTGCTGCCGGCCACTTCAGTCATCTCCACGTCCGTGTCGAGTACCTCCGCCTGTGCCTGCTGATGCGGCTGGTTCGGCTGTTTTGGCTGTTGCTGCAGATTGAAGGCACGCGACGGTTGCGCACCGAATTGCGGCTGTGATTTATTGCGTTTTGCATAAGGCTTAATGCTAAAAGACAGGAGTCAGGGAACTTACCTCGCCAGCAGTGCCAAGGTCTGTCTGCGCGTTCCGCAGGACGAGGAACTGTTGGGCATCTGCGGTGTCTGTCTGGGTTGGAATTCTGGGGTCAACGTAGACCCACAAGGCTTGGTTCTGAAAACCTGCAAGAAGATCAGTGATGAAGAGCCAAACTGTTAGTGTGCAGGAAGGATATACTCACTGGTACGCCGCAGTGGGTTGCGCAGTCTGGCCATCGTTAGGTGCCAGTAAATCTCCGCATTGTCACTGCCCAGGCAAAGTAAGAGCACGCTGAACAGCCGTACGCGGAACTGCTCACAGATCTTCTTGAGGCTCTGCTCGAACTGGCCCACAGTGCTGGGGGCCGAAATGCACAGTTCCATGATGAGGCGCAAACTCTGGCGCAAGATGTTGGTTACAGATTCGCGCGAGTCGTACTGCGGCAGCTCGTACTGCGGCAAAAAGATCAGGCTCTCGGTGAACCACTCAAGGGCGCGGCTGATGGCGCCGGGTATGGTCTCCTCGTTGATGGGCGCTCCCTCGAAGACGCTGTCGTTCAGAAAGCTGCTCAGCTCCGAGCGCAGATTACTCGATCTATCACTGAAGTGTGATGATGATGTCGGTGTGACTGTGGGTGTGACTGGGACTGCAGCTGTAGCTGTAGCTTCTGTAGGTGGAACGCTCATGTTGACCGCGCTTGTGCGGTTGGGTGTGGTGAAAAAGTTGACCATTTCGGCAATTCCATCCGTGTTGTTGACGGCGCTGGCTGAAGCTGCTTGCGAAATATTTCGTACAGCATTAAACAACGTATTTGAGGTTCTTGATGATGGGGTTAATGGTAAGAGTAAGCCACTGGAAACCACTGCCCGAAAGGTGTGCCTTGGCAGCCCCAAGGCACACCCCTCTATCGGCAGTCGCATGAATTGTGGTTTCCGACTGTATATTTGTGCAATGAGAGAGAATGAGGGTGGCAGACAGCGAAGATCTGGGTAGGAAAACTTACCAGAAGGCACTC